CTCATTGAGTCCAATTTGTGCTGCCCAAAAACTCTTGGGTGTGGGGCCTGCCCTAGAGACTGGATGACATACCAGGGATTGCACCTTTAAAGAAAACTTACTTAGCAGCTACTGATTGCCAAGAGCTCCTCAGCTAGGGAGCGGGGCTTCATGCCGATCATCACCCTCCATCTTCAGTTGGGATTTTTGTCTGGCTTGAGTTTGTATAGGTCTTGTGTATGCTATTACAGTTGCTATAAGTTTATAAATGCAACTGTCCTGTTGTCAGCCTCCATAAACTTTCCATATGTCCAGAGTGATACAATGGGCAAATAATGATGATCAGACACAGACATGAGCCCTAACCTGTGGTGCTTACAGTAATAAGATAGAGAGCAAATAATCCTATCATCACCTGTACAACTACTGACACAAGTCATATACAGGAAAGGTACAAGACACTCAAAAACACATACCCAGAGTACCTACCTGTCCTGGACTGGAAAATTTTTAAAAATATATGTATAAAAAAGTAGTATCTAAAGTAAAAGAACTCAAGGGAGGGAGTGAGGGAGACAGAGAGAGAGGAAGAAGAAAAAAAAGAAGAAGAACTAAATATGCAAAGACCCGTGGTAGAGAAAGTATGGATCATTTGAAAGAAAAAAATGAACAAAAACCAAAGAGACTAGATTTTAGGAGGAAGTAGAAAACTGAAGCAGCAGGAATGGAAAGGATCAAACAGTAAATAAGTTTCTCTACAGTATTAAGAATGTGAGTCCTGGGGTTAGAGGGATGGTTCAGTGGTTCAGAACGAATAATGCTTTAGCAAAGAACCCAACTTTGGTACCCTACATCCACATCAGGAGGCTCAAAACCACCTGTAACTAGTTCTAAGGAATCCAGCACCCTCTTCTGGACTCCATGGGCACTTGTATTCCTATGTACATATTCCCGCACACATATACATATAATTAAAATTAAATTAATCTCTTTTGAAAAAATAATATGAGTTCTGAGAGATAGAGGCAGGGGCAGAGGCAGCATCATAGGTTCAAAGCCAATCTACTCTACATTGTGAGCACCAGGCCAGTCTTTATTTTACAAAAGAGCAAAGTTGTGAATCACTTGAAGGTTTGATGAGGATAGTCATAGTCTTGTTGAGGTCTGGAAATGTTCACTCTGAATTAGAGATCAAGAGACATGAAAAAATGAGAGAAATGCTTATGAAGAAAAATCCAGAGCATCTAGTGATCAATTGAACATGGACTAGCAGAGGTGAGGGAGGAGCCCACAAATTATCTTTTCAGATAGGTGGTAGCTCTGTTTACTGTACCAGACAAAGATGACATCACAGAAAAAAAAAAAAAACACTTTAGTTAAGATACTAATCAGTGGTTCTCAACCTAGGGTCCAATAACCCTTTCACATGGGTCACCTAAGGCCATTGGAAAACACAGACATTTACATTATGATTCATAACAGTAGTAAAATTACAGTTATGAAGTAGCAACAAAAATAACTTTATGGTTGGGGGTCACCACAACATGAGGAATTCTGTTAATGGGTCGCAACTTTAGGAAGGCTGAAAACCACTATACTACATAAATTGAGGGCCCAGGGCAAATTAAGAAACAAGATTTCCTGCTGAACAGTCACTAAAAATTTCAAGACAGTGAGAGCATGATCTTTTAAATGGTGGGCCCCTGCATGGCTGCTAAAGTCACCATCCACGCTGAGACCTATTTGTAGGGTTTAAAGTGTCAACCATACAGAGAGGTTTTGCAAAGACAAAATTCCATCAAAAGATGAGTTCTGAAGCTGAAAGATGCCACCAGTGTCCCAGGCTCAGGTACCTATAGTTATCCCTGGTAGTCAGTGGAATAGCCCAAATGGCTGTCACCTTTGAGTAGCCAGAAATATCACCTGGTGCCTCTGATAAGAAAAATTTCTCATGTGAGAAGTTAGAGAGCAAGGTGTTGGTCCCTGGGTATATGCCAAATTGCTTTATATGGCACCACAGTTACACAAAGGGGAATTCCACGTTGGCTGTCCAGTGATCAGCCCTTCCGTTGTGCTTTGCAACATCAGCCTGGCCACAATTCTCAGTACAGCCAGTTCAGTTTGCATAACCCTTGTTTGATTTACCCTGAGGCTAGCCTTAACTTGGGCTCCTTCTAAATCTCTGACCCTCCTGGGTTTTCATTCCAAAGTATTTCTAAAGATTTCAAGGCCAATATTGAAGGGGTTGCTCTGAGGAAGACAATGCTGGTAAGTATGTCTGTCTTCTGGTCTTCGGTACAAGTGGATATGGATGCAGCGAAGCCATCAAGAAAACTTCTGTTGAGGTTACTAAAGAAGGTTATTTGGAAAACACTAGAAATTTAAAACCCTTAAAACAGTTTCACTTAAAATTAAAGTGAAACTATTTTACATGCTAGATAAGAAGAAATGAAACTCTGTTATCAGCCTTTTAAAGATTTTTTTAAATTTATTTTATTATTATTTATTTAACTGTGTGTATGTGTGTGTATGTTATATGTGCATGTGAGTACTGATTCCCACATGACTGAGGATGCCCACATAGACCAGAAAAGTCTATCAGATTTCCTGTGGCTGGAGTTGTAGGTAGTTGTGATTGGGAGCTGAGAACCAACCTCCAGGCCTCAGAAACAACAGCACACATTCTTTGGTGCTGAGACATCTCTCCAGTCCCCCAAAATAACTACTAATAGCAAATAGGATCAATAGGATCATGATCTTTAAAAGACTTTTTAGCATGTGTGAACAATCCCATCCTTTCTGCCCATCTCACACACTTGTTCCCCAGTGCTGACTCTATTGCCAGGCAATCTGGCTGTTCCCTGAGTCCAACAGCCTGGGTCCCTTAGCTTTTTCCTAGCTGTTCCATTGTGCCACTCAGGGCTTCCAGACTGTTCTCTAGAATTACAGAAAGACAAGGAACACCTATATCAAGAAAGATGCCATTTTGTTGGGCATGAGTGGATTCCTCAAAGATCTTATATACTGTACATAAGACTCTCTAAAATCCACTATTGTATACACTCACACGGGCGCGGGCGCGCGCACACACACACACACACACACACACACACTCTCTCTCTTCTCTTCTACCCAGATTCTTCTGCAGCTAAAATGATAAAGTATACCAAGTAGAGTTCCCCTAAAGCATTATGACGTCATACATCAATGCAGCACTGAACTTGGACATCTTTCAATGAAGCTCACCTGTTGTTCTAGCACTTATTAGGCTAAGACAGGAAGATGGTGAGTTCAAGGTTATCCTCAGCTACATAGCGGAACCTTCTCAGAACAAACAACAAATACTATCTTTTAAAGCCATGTTTAATAAAACTTTCTTTCATTAGCATCTGACTAGAAATAGGGTAGTGAGAGTCCATTTTGTCCAGGTCAAGGAGGACCTTGAGCCTACCCTGGATTTCAGATCCCTAGTCTACAGCACTGTGTCCACACCTAAAACATGCAACTCAGAGAGAGGGTTGCTTCTGCTGGTGAAAACAGACATCTCAAAACCCCAGAAGTCAAAAGGAAAACATGGAAGGAGTGGAGCCCTGCTTGGCCCTTTGCTCTGTGCTTGCTTCAGGTAGAACTCAGCCTAGAATAAATGGGATCAGCTGTTCCGGAGTCAACTCCATTCCACCTGGCTTCTAGAAGATTCTTTTCCCTTCATAATTAGTAAGTTTCTCCACCAACATTTACCAGAGTATTGGAAGGAGAGGCTACAGCCCTTGATCCTGGTTCATCAGTCACCACATCAGGTAAGACTGGACAGGCCCAACTGCCTGACCCACCAGCTCTGGTGTGGTAGCCCTCTCCTATGGAGCAGACATGGAACCCTGTACCAACAGAGATTCTCTGTACTGATGCAGGAAGGAGAACCCTGGGGAAGACCCTCTACATGGGTCTAGTGTTATTTAAGCAAAAAACTACTGGTCAACAGGACATGTATCACTGCCCCCTTCGGTCAGAGAGAAAACAGGTACTAGGAGGACAAGTGGCTTACCCAGGGTACACAGTGAAAAGAAATGGAGGACTCCCAGCCAATGCTCTTCCCACCAAACTGAGGTAGTAGGAGAAGTCCCTGTTAAAGGGAAGGTCTAGACATAATCAAAGGACTAAGAGAGACTTCCCAGCTATCTGTAGAAGTACCAATATGGCCACCTCTGTCCTTTGGCAACTACAGGTTACTCATCTCCAAGCCTGGGACACTGTAAACCAGGGCCATGGTAAGGATAACCTGACAGTCACAGAACAAGCTTCCTAGAAGTCTGCACTCCTTCTCCTATCTTCCCATGCTGGGATCTAAGTATCTCAATGAAACAAGGGCCAGAGAAGGCACTGGAACTCTCCTCTGACCTTCTGACCCACAACAAACATAACTTTTCAAGGGATAGTCTTGAATATGAGATAGGACAACCAAAGAGAGTAAGCTGTAAGGATAATCACCTTTCAGGTAACTGAGTGCTAAGGTGACTTCCTAGTCAGCAAGAAATAGCAGGCATTCAAGCCAGGTTGAGTTGGGGAACCAATTATTTCTCAATCCTAATATGCTCTGGAATGGCCCATTTATTCACGTCATTGTGACCTAGGAGTGCGTGAATGGCCTCTGTACATTGAACAGCTGTCTGCTTCAGGAAACACAACTTTTTGTGTTGAGAAGCTAAAAAAAAATTTTTAAAGAGAGGTAGCTCATACTAAAATTAGCTATAAGCAGAAGTTCATTTTCACCCATTTGCTTACAGTGCAAAAAAAAAAAAAATTAAGCTCAAAATTGCATGGTCTAGAACTAGAAGGGGGAGGAGCCTGAATAACAAAAAAAAAAAAAAAAAAAAACCTTTGCCAGGAAATATGTAAATGGGAGGCCCCACTGAGCCTGAGCCTCAGTATAAAAGGGGGACACAGGAGGGGAGGTCTACACTTTAGGGGCTTGCTCTTGCAGCATCAAAGTCACAAGGCAGCCTTGCAGAAGACAGAGCTCCATCATGCCCAGCTCGGCACTGCTATATTGCCTAATCTTACTGGCTGGAGTCCGGCCCAGCAGAGGCGAGTACCCCCGGAATGAGAGTAACTGCACCCACTTCCCAGTCAGCCAGACCCACATGCTCCGAGAGCTTCGAGCTGCCTTCAGCCAGGTGAAGACTTTCTTTGTGAGTATGATGCCTACCTACCCTTTTTCCTTGGAATTGCTTGAAATATGCCTTCTGTGGAACTGTGAGATGAGCCCTCCTCTTCTGTCTCCTGCTCTCTTCTTCCTCCTGATCCCAGCACATGTTCCTCCTCTAACTCTAGCATCTATCCCCCTTAAATTTAAATCAATAGAGTCCCAGGCCAATCCCTGGTTTAACCCAAACCCAGGCACACAGGAAAAGCTAACTGGAAAGTGAATGCATTGTTTTTCCTGAGCTCAAAAACTTTCTGTAAGTTCCTAATGAAGCTACATATTTTGTTGATGAGGACAAAAGTCCATGGTAGGAAGCATATTCTGTCTCTGCTTAGTCTCTGGGTCTGGAAGACCAAGGTTTGGGGGACCAGGCATGGAACACTTTCGTTACACAAGTATTCCCCTTCCAGAGCTCCTGGAGCTGGTGTAGGAGGTCCAGAGAAGGCAGAGAGCCATGCAAAGCAGAGGCTCTCCATTAGGGACTTCTGGAAAGGAAGGGTTGACATAGGTGCCCTTGAAGCCTGATGTGACTTATCTGAAGGAAGACTAGGCCTGGGTCAAACTTCTCCCAATCTGCTAAAGGCAGTCAGAAGTATTGTTTTAAAATAACTCAATCCTAAGAGGAAAAACTTTGATTTAACTCCAGGCCCTGGCACCATCAAATCCTTTTCTTAAAACTCTCCTTTCAATAGTTGCCAGGGCTACACTGATTACAAATTCAAAACAAATTCAGAAGACAGGCATGCTGGGTATTCCCCCCACTCCCACATCCCATCCCCCACCCCTACCCTTGCATTCATGCCCCTTTTGTTCTTCCAGCAAAAGAAGGACCAGTTGGACAACATACTGTTAACGGATTCCTTGCAGCAGGACTTTAAGGTAAGAGTCCAGTAGGTGCTGGGGAGTGATGGAGTCCTTAGGGAAAGGAGGACAGCAGGAGTTAAGTCTAATGCTCCTCAGCTTTCGAAAGGAGAAGTGGGAAGACCTTAACTCAGCATATTGCCAGCAGTCAAGGGTTATGAAGAGCTAGCTCTGTGGTAAAGGAAGAAAAATGTAACTGGGGGATGGGGTGGGGGGGCGCATCCCTAGGGACAAGACTGACCATCAAGTTTAGTTGCAACAGGGCATGCTTCCAGTAGCCCCAATCTTTGATCCCTGCCTCTAGGGTTACTTGGGTTGCCAAGCCTTATCAGAAATGATCCAGTTTTACCTGGTAGAAGTGATGCCCCAGGCAGAGAACCACGGCCCAGAAATCAAGGAGCATTTGAACTCCCTGGGAGAGAAGTTGAAGACCCTCAGGATGCAGCTGCGGCGCTGTGTGAGTAGATCAGTTCTTTCCCTTGAAGTCACCCACCAAATACCACCCCCTACAGCCCAGCCAAGCCACATGCATCTAGAGACACATGCAGGCTAGACTGGGGACTAGGTAAATCTAGAGAGGCACCTGGAATCAGATCTAGTGCCGTCTGTTCCTGAGCGAGAGTGGGGGTGGCTTTGAGGCACTTACACATGAAGATTTGTGCATAGCCTTCCTGTTATTTATGAGTCACTGTGGGTTATTAGCTACTCCCCTCTCTTCGTGGGAAGGCCAGGGCTTCAGTCATGGTTCCCTCGTCTCTGGACCTCAGTCCTGGGCTGCCAGCTGAGGCTCCCAAACGGAGGAAAACATTCACCTCTTCATTTCATCTTTTGGAAAGCACACAGCTGGGCTGATAGGACTCTCCCTGGCATTTCAGAAGTGCCGGAAGTGCTTACTATCCCTAAGCCAGTATCTATGAATAATATGCCTAAAGTATCTATTTCTCTGGCTGAAGTGACCCCTTCGCCCCTGTGGTTTGCTTTCTTCTCTGGCTGATACTTCGAAATCAGTTGGTGTCTATTTGTGCAGTGTTCTAGGCAAATGATTTGGACCCAGTATCTGAGGCTTTATTTCCACTCCCAGACACCTAGTAATAGTTCATGCTGGTTGATACTGGAGATAGACAAGAAGAGACATTAAAAACATAATGGATGTCTTGGATTCTGAGAGACAAACCCAAGATGCTTTGCAAACATCTCAGTGACTCCAAAGACATCCGTTGCATCTTCCTGGGCTGTTCTAACCTGCCCTACTGCAATTGATAAGGGCCAAGCAGGGCTCAGTTCTTCCTGGGAGCTAAGAAGTGAGCACTGAAAAGTAAATCTGGCCCCTTCTTCATGTATTCAGGTTGTTTCCCCCAAGTGCCATGAATACAGGATACAAGCTAGAACTGTCAACACTCTCTTTTTCTTCTACAGCATCGATTTCTCCCCTGTGAAAATAAGAGCAAGGCTGTGGAACAGGTGAAGAATGATTTTAATAAGGTAAGCCTGGGTTGCAGCAAAGAGGGTGGGCATTGGGTGACCGAAGGGCAGAAGGAGGGCGGGACCTACTCTGCACCTGGAGTGTGGGAACCTGGTAAACAGTATGACCTCCTCTGCCAGTTAGGAGGCACCACCTCAGTTGCATTTGTTTTCTGCAAAGCGTCTGCGGCAGTTTCTAAATGACTGCTCCACTTCTGCAGGCTTTTGGCTTAGACTGACCAGCCAACCTATGAGCACAGAGCACTAGGTGCTGGGGAGAGTGACGAAGGAAACAGAAAGTACAGAAAGTACCTTGTTGGCAAACAAGCTGAACCCACAAGTGCAGAAAGCAGACATGAATTAATGCACACAGGCACATCTTAGGGCTCAGCCTAGATGCCCCAAAAATCAGAATGAGCAGGAAGCAGAATTCTTACTTGTCCCAGTACACTTTCCACTTGGCAAACAAAATGAGGTTTCACACTTCCAACTGCCTGTGAACCTATTAAACCCTAGTTCCCAGAAGCCATGTGGCCCTACACAATCTCCATGGGCTAGGTGGAGACATTTGGCAGGGCTCTAACATCAGTGAGCATGACTTCCATGACAGTAGGTCAGAACGGCAGGGCGGGGACCGCCTAACTGCTCAAAACATAAAAACATTTCCTTGTCTATCTCTATCAGTGTCCTGCTTTCAAACTGCTTGCTTCCTCTAACATCTTTGCATTATATTCTGCATAAGCATTACATGAGCACAGGCCTCTAAAAAAAGTTGAAAAGCGCAACTCTGAAGACAGTGCTTTGTGAACTAAATGCTCTCCTTGCTGAGCCCCGGCAGTGCTTAAAGTTGGGAGAAGGTGCAGGTGAAGGCACAGCCCCCTCCCAAGGGAACTAGACAAATCTTTGGGTCCCCAAGGTTCCCCTCCCAACACGAGAAAGCAGAGCCTTCTACACTCAGAGTCTTTCCCAGACAAGTGCAGGGGTCTCCTCAGACCTCCAACAGTTCCTAACTGGGTGCTTCTCTTTCTACACAGCTCCAAGAGAAAGGTGTCTACAAGGCCATGAATGAATTTGACATCTTCATCAACTGCATAGAAGCGTACATGACAATCAAAATGAAAAGCTGAACCGCCCGGAGCACGCGTTGAGTCTCCTGGGCCCCAGGTCATAAACAGAGCTCTCTAAACCTGATCCAAGGGTCTCAGCTAACAGAAGCACCTCCTTGGAAAACCTCATTGTACCTCTCTCCAAAATATTTATTACCTCTGATACCTCAGTTCCCATTCTATTTATTCACTGAGCTTCTATGTGAACTATTTAGAAAGAAGCCCAATATTATAATTTTGCAATATTTATTATTTTTACCTATGTTTAGCTGTTTCCATAGGGGATACTTTATAGCATTTGAGTGTTCTAAGGGAAATTATGGTATATAAGGGGGGGATCCTCCTTGGGAAGCCAACTGAAGCTTCCATTCTAAGTTTGGCCACACTTATTAGCTGTAGAGCTGTTTATTATAATGTCCCTTTAGTTTCTCTCATCCCTGAGTTCAGGGCTCCTGAAAGAGTTATGAAGACTCTCATGGATCTTGGGAAGAGAACCTAGGGAGCCCCTTTGATGATTATCCTTGCAACAGCTCAGAGGGATTCCCCTGACCTCATTCTCCAACCACTTCATTCTCAAAAGCTGTGGCCAGTTTGTTATTTATAACCACCTAAAATTAGTTCTAATAGAACTCATTTTTAACTATAAGTAATTCAATTCCTTTGGGAATGGTGTATCATTTGTCTGTTTTTGTAGCAGATTCTAATTTTGAATAAATGGATCTTATTCAAATCATGTTGTGGTGTCTGTTGAGCTGTCTGATTTAAAAAAAAAAAAAAAAGAAAGAAAAAGAAAAATCCCTCAAGCTCCAGAGGGCAAGAAGGGGTGAATGAATTTTAGATTCCACAGAAAGGATGCCAGCAACTTCTGCAGGAAGGGGTGGAGTGCAGATCCAATCAGTGGAAAATCTTGCCTTGCTTTCAAAGCATCAGCACAAACCACTGAGACCTTCAAGCTCAGTCCTTAAAAATGTGTCCTGAAACCATTAAAGGGCATGCTATCTTCCAAAGCCGGGAAAGGCGATTCACACATATGTAGCCAACACTAGGCAAGAAGTCCTGGGGTGAATGTAGATCTGTCTGTGGGCATTCTGGGGATTTAACAGAAAGTTGTCAGGAACTCCTGGAACTCCAAGATAGTCCCACTCCACGAGTCTGATTGCTACTGGCAATCACATTCACTGGCATACCGGAAGTGCTGCAGACAAGCCCCTTCACATGCTGAGCAAACAACTGCAGCTCAGCTAACTCCCCAGCCCTGAAATTCAGGATGGCCTTGAACTCAGTTCTTCCTGCCTTCGCTGTCCAAGTACTGGAATTCTTCAGGCTGAGGTCAGAGGCAACAGAGTTGGGCCAAAAGAATTGAATATAGGTAAATTGGCCTGCTAAATAGGTACCCAAAGGATTCAACCAGTCACTTCTTCCTGCCCCCTTCTTGAGCCACCAGACATGGTTAGACTTCTGACTAGGGTGGGGGAGTGGTTGGGGAAGCCCTACTAAATGTCTCGTGACTTCGAGAATAAGGGGAAATAATGAGCTGAGTAACACACACACACATACACACACACACACACACACACACACACACTCATACACACATACACACACGTGCTAGCCAGGCAGCCCTGGGACAGGGCGGGTGGGAGCTGACAGGCTGTGGTCATTTTTTCAGTAAGGCCTGACTCACTTCGGTTAAAGTAACCATCGGAAGGAAGTGGGAAGCATCAAAGCTGAAATTCTGAGATGAAAGATTGGGGTTAAGAACTGGAGCTAAGGGCAGGTGGGGAGGTGTCGGGGAGGGATGGTTCAGTGGTTAGAGTGCTTTCCGGGCAAGGGTGAGACCGGAGTTCAGATCCTTAGAACCCAAGCAGATGCTAGTGGGCATGGCAGGCTGGGAAGGTACAGACAGGGAACCTCAGAGAAGGGAGGCTAGTTATTAAGTTCCAAACCCAGGACACTGAGGTGTCTATTTAACATTTCAAAGCAGAACTGGCCTCCAGGTTGTCCCAGCATCCCTCAGTCCCTACTTGTTATAGAGTAGGACTGGCACACCCCACCCTCTACCCTGAACTCTCCAGCCCAGGGGCTAAGCTGCCCTTCCCCCACAGGCCCTTCCCTGTATAATCCAGACATTTTGGCTACCTGCCCTTTTGTCCCTTTGGCCTCCTGGTCCCCTCTCTCCATTAACTCCTCCCCTTCTTCCCGTGTGGCTCAGGATTGTCTGCCTCTGGCTATGCTCTCCAACAGGTCTATAGTGAACTTTTTCCTCCACCATCCCTAGGGGCAGCCATGTCCTTTCTTTTCTATTTGTCATTCACTAGCAAGACTGGCCATTTTGGAGAGCTTTGGTTTCAGACTGCCTGGTTGAAAAGGTGGAAGATGAATTGAGTATGTTCACTCACACCAATGTCAGGCCTGTGTTGCACGACCACACGTGCACGCTCACAGGTGTGTGCCCACACATACAAGGAATGCCTGCACACAACCACAGGGAAATTAAAAAAGGACAATGAGGCTAGCAGAGGGGGAGGAGGGCTGGGTGAAGTTTGCATCCTGATCTAGAGAAGTTCTGAGCCCCTAGCCAGAAAGCTTCCACAGCTGGGACCCCATGGCAGCCAAGCACATGCAAACCAGCAGGAGGCCGGATCTTACTCAAGAGGCTGGGCATTTGAACAGAAACACGTCTGCAAAGGAGCAGAACTGATCTCAAACAATAGCTACAATGTTACTGGAACTTCTTATGGGTGTGTCAGCACCACACTCATAAGTGTATGAGGCATACTACATGCTTTTTAGTCTTGACACGTCCTATAGACTCGGAAATGTGGGAGCATTTTCATTATTCAGTTTGCTGCGCTACAGTTCAATAAGTCACCATCCTACAGCTCATGTTGGAAGTTCAAGATTTTTTTAATTACGTTATTAACCCAACATTCTCAACCATGTGTTGATCGTAAATTAATCTTACATACTTAGGCTCTGTGTTTGCTGCTTAAACTCTGTGTGTATCTATCCCTGAACTTTTATACTTAATATTTATATTAATAATAATGTGGGCATTAATTAAAGCCATTTCTGGCTACTTTGCTATATACTTCATATATATTAACACGTTTGTTATCCTGTAACATAATGAGGTACTATTAAATTAATATCTCAATTTTTTTGAGACAGAGTCACATTTATAGCCCTGACTAGCTTGTAACTCACTCTGTAGACAAGGCAGCCTCAAACTCAGAAATCCACCTGCCTCTGCCTCCTGAGTGCTGGGATTAAAGGCATGTGCACACCTCACCTAGACAACATCTCAATTTCTTACACATGAGAATAAGATTCAGTTAAACATTCGACGTTAGGTCATCCAACTACTAATGTCAGAGTTCATAATCTTAATGAAAATATCAAACTCCTAGATATCATTTTCATATACAAATTACTGAACAGCTCTTTTTTTCTATATTGATCTGCCTCCTTAAAAGATAGAGATATTTTCCAAACTGGTGTATAAATCTATAGTCCTAGAAATTTGAAAAGCTGAAACAGAGTAATTTAGAATTTGAAGCTAGACTGGGCTATACTTCAAGACTGTGCCTCGAAAACAACAATAAAATACCATACATTTATACTCTCAGCTGCTCAAGAGGCTGAAGGAGGAGGGTCACTGAGTCCAGGAGTTCAAGGGCAGCCCGGGCAACATAGTGTGACGCTGTACCAAATATAACAATATATATTTCAGTACTATATGTCTCCTTTCTTATTTGTCTCAAGGCATTTTTAATTTCTCTTCTCATTACTCTTTGACTCGCTGGTTCTTCAAGATCATGAGAAATGTTCTCATGTCTAATGTAGCCCATCATGTAACTGCTTGTAAATGGTTGTGGCTCCTTCATGAGTGTCCATAGCACAGGATATATCCTCTGAGCCAATGATCCAGGAAGGATCTAAAAGGAAGATGGGTACAACAACATTTCTGGCCTAATCCAGGAAATCTCATAGCACTGGTCCTGCCACAGTATACCTGTTAAAAGGTAAGTACAGACATATATAAGTGAAGAGGAGTTTGATTTCACCTTTTGATGGAAGCATATCAAAGAATCTGTGCACATATTTTAACACTTCTATACCCTTCAAAACCTTAAAAGGTAGTAGCTCTTGGCTGGTAGATGAATGGAGGGAAGAGCTGGCTTAGAAACACCTGCATAACTGAGCCATCAACATGGACATTCCCATTCTTAGGTTCCTGTCTTGTAGACTTATCCCAACATATTTACTTCTCTTAGCCTTTATTTCTCCTTTGGAAAACTGGCAAAAAAAATCTCTTCCTAGATGCTAGAGATGGAATATCGATGTTCCTCTTCTCCATATCCCAACCAAATTCATATTGGAGGCTTCACTGCAAAAGTGATGATATTTGAAGATAGGGCCTTTGGAAGATGACCAAGGTTAGACAGGTCAGTAAAGTCTTCATGGTGGTGTTAGTGCTAAGAAGAGATCGGTTCTATTTTCTTGTCATCTTTCAGAAACAATCAAAGAAGAGGTTTTATGAGCATACAATGAGATAGGATCTCTCTTGAGGCAAGAGAAGAGGCCTCAGGATGAAACTGCCTTCCTGGCACCTTGGTCTTAAACTTCTCAGCCTCCAGAACTTTAAGAAAATAAGTTCCTACAAGTTAAGCCAGGCCTCCTGCAGTATCTTTCTACGACAGCTGACGCTCACTGACGCACAAAGTTTGGCATGGAGATATCACAGGTGTGACAGAATGTGTGTGTCTTGAAGAGGTGACATACAGATGAGGTTTGGGTGAGGGTGTGGAAAGCAGTTAAAAGCCTTTATTCTCTAAGAAGACCAGCTCTCTCATCTTCCAAATTGTGCCGTAGATTTGGGAGATGGTGAGAATCGATACTCATCTGTGGTCCTGGCTGCTAAAATGACGAGGGTGGACATGTAAAAGGAGTTCCTGGAATCCGGATAACAACGTGATTGCTCTTCATAGATCCTGGCAGAAATTAGGCAGGGAAAAAAAATGCAACCAGTCTCCTCCATTCTGGGGATGAGGTACATTTTTAATGGATGTGCTTGACAGCATCAGATGAAAAGGAAGAGGTAGGAGCTAGCTCAGTGGCAGAAGTCTTCCATTCTGTGCCATGTTTCTCCTTAAAACTTAATTTGGGATTTAATTGTGATAACATGTAGGGAAAGTATAAATGAA